GGCTGGGAGAAGCTGAGCCAAACCCACCGCTGCCGGGACAACTCCTCCTTATTGCCCCATCTTTCTTTTTTTTAAATGCCTAGTAAATGCTCTCCGCTAGCCTGTTGGACTTGCGGCGTGCGTGCGCAGGGATGGGTAAGGGTGTAGCTGTCGGCGACAGCAGGTGCAGCTGTGCGACATAAGGGTGAGCGTTCCGCCATGTAGCTGCGCCTAAACTCTGTTTTAAACCATCTTCAAGACCCAGAATAAAGTTCTGGCCTTGCCTTTTAGAGGAAAATAAGAGTTCTGCAAGAATATTTTTTTTTTAAGGGTTTTGGGTGCCTGTGTAGTGGGAGCAGGGAGGGTTTGCAAGCTGGCAGTAGCGACGTGCCCGCTGAAACCCTAAGAGAGAAAGAAACAATTAAAAACTACCAAGCAGCAACTGAAAAGGCGGGTTTAGCAAGTTGTGGCGTGCGTAGAAAATAGAAGCAGATGCGATCCGTGCATCCAAATAAATGTGAGGTAGAAGGAAATTAGATATTCAAGTATGAGAGAGGTAATTATTTAAAAAGCAAAATTCCTATTGTGTGAAAAATTGCTATTGCGTGCGTTTAGCAATTCATGTAAAATAGGGTTGAAAATAACATTTTATTTGGGCACAGAAAATTATGGTTTAGGACTATTATCCTTTTAATGCTTCTTAAATGCTGCGTAGTAACTGTTTGACATACAGTCATTTTTATACTGAAAAAAAAAAAAAAAATCCAGAAGATTAGAAGGCCACGTTGTGCATCATCATGCTCTCCTCAGAGCATGCCATCTGCTCCCACCCTCTTGCTCTCACTTCCTTCCATCCTGCAGGATAAGAAAGTTTTAACCTGTGCAGGAACAGACACACAGCTTTTGCTGTCCCGGGGAGGAAGGGGATGAGAGGGGGGGAGCCCGTTGAAGTGTTTACGGAATTACTGTGTTGCAGTAAAGTATCGTGGACATTACAAAAAGGGGTGGGTGAAAGATGAGGACGTTGTATCGTTTTGTCACGGCAGGCTTATTTTCATAGCATGGCTTTTTCCTCTAAATTTTCTCACAGTGCTCTCTCTAAGCACAAAGTTCCTCGAAAAGTTTGCGATTCCAGGTTTTCCCTTGCTACCTTTGTGGCTGTTTGTCAGCACAAGAGAACTTCAGTGTTTCAACCTCTATAGTGTTTTAGCAAAATGTTCCTGGCATCGCTTTTCTTTAAATTATCCAGCATGTTTATACTAAGCAATCAGATAAATACGGACTTGGGTACAGTACAAACAGAATTCCCTTAAAACTCTGGTCTGTTTTGGTGCTTATTCTGCCACGGTACTAATGCAATATTACTTATTTCAAAACTTTTTATCTCGATGTTATTATCTTCCTTTTTAATTTTGGCTACTTATACCTGTGTTTGGTTTGTTTTATTACAGTTGTAACATACCTACATATCTTTTTTTTTAATGCTTCATCTGAACCACTGAAATGAGACTGAAGACTTCACTTTTAAAGGAACCAAAACATATCCTTTGTCTCAGAATAAACCGTAGAAAAGCATGTTAATTCTGAATAGCCTCTTTTCCAGAAAGGATTTGTTTATCATAAATGTCATAGTAAAATATCTGTAAATTGCAGGTGGCACTTTCCTCCCCCCCTTTTTTTCACCTTGCTCTTCAGTGCAGCCTTTAAGGGCAACATTTTAAGAGATGCTGAACACTCTTAGAGTAGTACCTTCCCTTTGGAAGCTATCAATGTTTTGCTAGAAAATCTTGAGGTTTTCTTTCCTTTCTTATTTGTAGTGAAAAGTTAAAAGCTTTCCCAGACAGTAAATAAGAGTAGTGATATATCTACTTGCTTGTAATAAGACATGCATGTAGCAGCTATAAAGGAAATAGTAATTCTCCTACTAATGAATTAGATATGTCACCGATTTATATATGATGTGGTGTTAATAAACTGACACATTTGAATGATAGTTGGGTGTTTTGCACTTGCATTGTGCACTGAGACCCTTTTAGAGGTGTAACCCAACGTTTCGGCTGTTTCAGTAAGTATGCATCATAATAAGAATTGTATTTTTAGACAATACAGTTTGCTTTCTTTTTTGCTGAATTTCTGCCAGCTCGTTTCTTGAAGCAAAGCCGCTAAGAAAAAATGAAGAATCGTGCTTACTTTATATAAAACATTCCATGGAATCTTATCAAAATAATCTTCCTGTACTGTTCCTTCAGTTTTGTATAACCTAGATGAGATGTTTTGTAAGCTTATTCTTAATAATTAAAATTTTCAGACTTCCTTAATTTAATTAAACATAAAGAATTGGTTAGCTGTGTGGGATGGACTACAGCTGACGAGCTATATTCCTGCAGCGATGATCACCAAATTATGAAATGGAACCTTTTAACTAGTGAGACTACTCGCGTAGTGAAACTTCCAGATGATATTTATCCCATAGATCTTCACTGGTTTCCCAGAAGTATAGGTGGGAAGAAGCAGTCCCATGCCGAGAGCTTTGTTCTAACAAGTTCTGATGGTAAGTCAATTTAAAATACTTATAATTTTCGTACTGCTTTGTGCTTCTGACACTCGGACACGTGAGAAATTATTTGCAGTTACAAATGCCTGTACACCAGTTGCACTGGTGTAAAATTAATAGTTGTTTCAAATTTAATACATTTTATTAGTATAATTTCCTCTGATACAATGTTGTCAAACATACCTCTGACAGCAGAGGTATAATTTTTTTTTATGTAAGGTCAATTTCTACCATCTTTTTTCAGTTTCCTAAACCAGTAGCTTTAAATATGTATGCACTGCATGCCTACATAGATACTATATCGCTTATAGTTATGAAAACTGAAGATGACCAAGTTACTGAAATTCACTAACCGTGGTCTTTAATATGGAGTTCATTTCTTGGACATGTTACAAGAGTGTGTCTTGTATCTGGCTTCTGTGGAGTCTTGAATATCCCTCCAAACCAGCTAGTTCTGGCAGTTGTCAGAGGTGTAAGACTACTGTATATGCTCACTATACTGGCAGATGTAGATATACGTACGTATATCCAGTATGCTGCTATTCGTCCAGTATCCTAGTGTGCTAACACTAGACTATATGATCCAGTATAGTAGCTACTGTGTTGCAGTGTATGGATTCTTTTTTGTGGAAGGGAGGTGGGAGCAAGAAGGTTTTGATGATTGCTTGGTTTTTTTTTTCCTTCCTCTCCCAAGAGACTAAGAATTGATTTTACCTGACTTGCACATAGACAAATTTTTCTTCCTGCGTGAAGGCTGATATACTCATATCCCCAATTCAGTGAAGAAATCTTAGGTAACTAGTTTCGTTATTATTTTACATTTATTATGAAGCAGTCCATACAACTCGGGTCAGACTTTGTCTCCTTTCTTCTCAGTACTGTAATGCAGATTATGTTCCATGCCATCAGGAATTTGCTGTGCATATTTCCCCTTCCTTTTCTTCCCTCACCCCTTTTCTTTAAGGAAAAACATTTGGGCTCTCTTCTTCTTGATCTAATTCTTTGTCTGAACAAAATAGAAAAAATAATGGTAAAAACAAATTTTCTTAACACCAGCCCCACTTTATTTCTGTTACGGAGAACTTACTGTGTGGAAACCCTGCAGTTCAGATGAGAGTGCTTCTTCCTGAACCTACCAGTTTTAAAAAGGGGTTGATCCTTTATGAAATCTGCTGGTTTACATTGACCTTGTTGCAAAAATTGTGTTGGGATAAAAGCTCTGCTAAGAAACAAGTCCTTGATGTCAGCTGGGACTGCCTCACTGACAACCCCCCGGCAAGAGCCTGCTGATGGGGTTGGTGTGTTAGTCTAGGAGTGATTTCCGATGCTTTCATGCGTTACGTCCGAGAACTTGGCATACAGGTGACTTGGAAGAGCTGTCTACAGCTTCCTGAGGAGGGGACGTGGAGAGGAGAGGTGCTGGTCTCCCTGGTATCCAGTGATAGGACCCAATGGGAATGGTTCAAAGCTGTGCTGGGGAGGTTTAGACTGGACATTGGGAAGCATTTCTTTCCCGAGAGGGCGGTCGAACACTGGAACAGGCTTCCTAGAGAGGTGGCCGATGCCCCAAGCCTGTCAGTGTTTAAGCGGCATTTGGACACTGCCCTTAACAACATGCTTTAACTTTTGGTAAGCCCTAAATTGGTCGGGCAGTTGGACTAGATGATGGTTGTAGGTCCCTTCCAACTGAAATATTCTATTCTATGACTTCCTTGCAGAAGTTGCGCAGTCCTTCTGCGGATCCTAACTTTTTACAGTCCTCCTGCAGATCCTAACTTTTTATACCTTTGTGTTTTACTCAGTTGATAATGCTGTTGAAGGTTCCAGAGTAAGTAAATTAAATTATCCTGCTGGTAGTAGTAATTATGTGCCACAAAGAAGCAGATTGCATCAACATACTAAACTTTGTATTCTTTTGTCAGCGGTCAAAGATCTTGGTGGTAAAGCTGTATTTCTACACAAATGGTAGTGATGGGAGTTTCTCAACACTGAACTGAAAGCAATATGCTGCTCTAAATCTCTGCCAGCTTTTCCAGGCAGAACAGATCATGGTCAATTGTTGCAGAGAGTTTCCATCAGGATAATAATGGCCATCTGCCCATGACCCTGTTGATAGCTTTCACGGGGACTTATTGATAGTTTTAATGGGCCTGATGGAGAATTTCCAGCTAACTTCTGCCCATGTTTTGGCCAGAACCTTGAATTTGTGGGTCTAGTGTGTTTTCTTTGGTGAGGGGAACTTATTGTAGGCTTTTGGCTAGCTTCACAGTGAGCTTGATTGGGAACAGAAGGTTTGTTACTGGGCATTAGCAGTCTGGAGCTGCTGCATCCAGCATGGCTTCCTGTATGGATGGAGAGAGGTAATACGGATTTGAAGAAGGTAGAGGAAATTCATTCTTTGCGTGAAATTTTTTGAGATTTCTCTGACTTTTGGCAATAGTTGCACTTAAAAATTAGGAGGGCTGAGAGTTCAATTCACAGAGTGGAGGCCAAGATTTCTTCAAGGTGTTCAGTACTTCCCAAGGAGTAGATGCACTGAACTTACGGAACAAAAGCAGGACATCTGGCTGCCTATCGCTTCCTAGATATACACAGGGAGGGAAGAGAAGGAGACAAGTTCAGCCAAGTAGAGTTGTAATTTTTGCAATACTTGGTGCTGAGCTTTACTATGAATTGTAGGCATTGAGTTTAATGAAGTATTGCTTGTAGAGCTCTTAAGGTGGAAATGGAAGCTTTTGTGAAAGCTGAAAAGAAGAATCATTTGTAGCAATTAAAATTTGCATGCATTATAGTATTATGCTTTGGTGGGGCGGGGTTTAGGTAAACAAAGACGTTCTTCAGAATGGCAGTCACTGATCAATATTAACTGAGCCGATTTCGATGGGATTTGTGTTCTTTTCCATTCAGTGATAAACATGGGATGGAAGGATTTCGGTAGGTCAGCCGGTGCTCTTAATTCCTTGCCTTTTTCTCCTTTCTTTCTCAGTTTCCACATTTGTATTTCTAATGTCCTGTCTCTGTAAAGTTCTAAATTGTATGTGTAAATAGTGAGCAAAAGAACAACTGTAGTAAGTCAGATCTCCTGTTAATTTATTCAGTCAGTTTTCCAGTGTTACTAAAATAGTGTGCTAATATTTCATGTTCTGCTGCAGTTTAGGAATAAAGATTCATGAATAACACCATGTATAGGTAGGCCCCAGAATCTTTTCCAGGATCCATTAGGAACTTTGCAAGGCTATCAATTAACTACTAGAAGTTGGATTACTTTAAGTGACATAAGTCAATGGCCGAGGTTTAAAGCGAGGGGTTCTTGCAGCTTAGCAGATGATTTTTCTTGCTGCTCAAGATTTTAGTTGTGTGTGACCAACAAATTCGAAACCAGTCCCTTAATGTTGATCTTCATGTTCCTCAATAAGACTTTTGTTTCATTTGCTTATAAGTTTTACCAAACTTTTTCGTCTAACCTGAAGTTCTCATCCTAGGATTCCAGCTAATGTTGAAGCACTTTATAAAGGTTTCAGCTACAAGACATAGTGAGAGGAAAGTCAGGAAAAATGCTGTCTCCTCCATAACAGTGAAAAAAAAAACCAAAACAAAACCAAAAAAATGACTGAGAAAAAAATTCTGTGAAACGTGTAAATGATCTTGTAGTTATATCTCTCTTAGAATTCACATGCACTTGAGAGTCTATCAATTCTATCATTGTCCAGCTTCTGGAGATCAGCCTGATTAACTTTCACTTTCTTTTATTGCAGCTGTTTCTTGCTTGCATGCAGCGTAAACTGTTTGGGCTATCTTTGCCAACTTTATTGCAGTGGGTGTTGGGTTTTTTTTTTTTCTTTTCTTTTTAAAAATGTGTAGGCCCTTCAAATTGTCCAGTTCTCAGCGCATCCCTAAGGCTTATCATCTTAATGGTGTTGTATCTGGGATAGATATTGTCTGATCGAAGTCTGCAGTCCACTAACTTCCCCCCTTTCCCAAGATGACACATCCTTAGTCCGGTGATCGGTCGTTAGATAATTTTGTATTGTTCAGTGAGTTGGGTTTGTATTCAGCCCTTGCATTCCTTCTGGACATCTGGGGCCTTTATTGCTATTCCTGTCGTTAATTTGAACGCTACTGTTTTGCTAGCATAGCGCAGTGCAAAGTAGAACTGAGCTTTGCTGGATGAATTCAGTGCTGTTAAAACTAAACGCTTTACGGTTGTTACAGAGCAGTAGACACTCTGCGGTGGGAAGATAACGTGATATTGTAGAAGGAAGATAGGAGGTAATTTATGGTTAAGTGAACAGAGTAAATCCCAATTTGGTTATATGTTTATAGAGTGCTAAATGTAAACAAAACCGGATGAAGAAACCGACCTATAAACTTTTTTTTTTTTTCTTCCTTGAAGTTCTGTTCCCTACGAAAGTGAGACTTCCATGACTGGTGGTGTAGGGGGACTGGCTGGTAGGTAATCAGTACCCACCCTCCTTGGTGGCTTTTATGGAAAGAGGCAGCTATGCGATGGAAAAATGCCGAATTAGTGAACGCCCTCCCGAGGGGCAGCTGCAACGTGGGCTACGGAGGGTCCACGCAGGGAGGAGATTACGCTTGACCTCACTGACGGGAAACGTTCAGCTGGGGTCCCTTCTGGGGCAGTAGGGAGTCCAGCAACACAAGTTGATTTGGCTTGCCTTTACTTATGGAATGAGTTATTTTTGCCATAATTAGTTCACAACACAAAACCTGAGATCTTCAGGTTTTGTCTTGCACAAGTTAGTACTTTATCTTCTTTCTCATAAGGATTTTTTACCCGGTTAACTGTTGTTAGGACTATGGGATAAGCTCTTAGCATTGATCAGTAAACTAATTCTGAATACTCAATTTCTGGAAAACTGTTCATGCTATGTATTTGCCAAAAATCACAGGGCTTTTTTTGTTTGGGGTTTTTTGGGTTTTTTTTTTTTTTCAGTGAAATCAAAATACAAAACAGTGCTAACCTAATTTGTGAAAGAATAAATTGAGATAAAAACTTAATGTGGAAAGTTTCCAGGTTTTTATCTTTTAGTGTAACTTGATGTTTTCAGTGAAGAGAACTTATCTGGTAAAGATTTTTTTCTTTTGCACATGCAAGTGAAGTGCATTGTAAAAGTACATGAACAACTTCTGTTGCTTAATTGCTATTTTCTAAAAACCTTACATTTAAAATTCTGTTTAACTATTACTTATATAGCATGCCATACGTGTCAAGCCTGCAATTTTCTTGCAACAGCTAATTCACCTTTGTGATAAGGATTCCTGGAATCCAATGTAAATTCAGTATAATGTCTTTACAGGGTTGCATTGATTCCTGGTTGAACTCCAGATGTTTGTGAAATTAGAGCAAATGTAAATTTAATCCTCTTGGGTCTTCTTCTGAGTTGCATCTCTTGTGGGATATTGTTCTTTTACTTCCTATTTACATTGATCTCGTTGCTGCTTTTTTACAAAAATAAATAACATGTTCAGCTTTAAACTGCTTACTAAGCACAAATCATAAGTGAATAGACCTATTTTTTCAACTTTTTATGTTATTGATAATTTTACATTAGGTCAGCATTTAAAAGTCTATGAAAAGTAATGAACAAAACATACATGTTTTATATTCTGTATTTGAACAGGCTGCTAATCTCCCACTTGAAATTATTCCAAAACTGGAGAGTCACTTTAAGATTGAGGACAGCTTCTGGCTTTAGTGCTTAATAAAACTAAAGGAACAGTATTTTACAAATCTGAGATGTAAAGTAAGATTAAGTTGAATCACTTCTATGTACTCCAAGCATAGAGCTAAAATTTTCCCTTTCTTAATTGTGCATAAGGCAGTAAGTTCTAATTTGAAAGCCTCTACAACCTCAGTGTTAAGCTGAAGAACAGAAGGCAGAGAAATCCATTGAAACATTGCTTTTAGAGCAACCTCTGTGCGTGAATGCAGTGAAAAAAGCAGCGTCTAATGAGTCACATCATTTGACTGTCATCAGTTGGAAATTCACGTGTTGGAAAAGTAAAGAAGTTGCAGAAGTAAAGATGATATCCATGAAAACTTGATTTGGCCCTGTTCTGCATAAGTATTATGATACAGTTTTTAAATGCATGTCACATTTTTTCCAGATGAATTCTATCTTAGTGCCTAAGGTAGACCGCTTTCATATGAAACTCTATTCTTTCCTGCTAGGCTACAATTTGCTATGTTTCACTATTTGAAAGATGCCTGCTGAAAGAAGTAAGAGCTTGTGGAGTGGGAAAGGATGCAAAAGATTGGTAAATGAGTTGACTGTTTCCCTGTATAACAGGATTTTATCCTGTACTCTGTGACACGGCCCATTGTTTTCCTGATAATGTGACCTAACCGAAGTATTCGGTTGCCTGCCAACTGCCTGTTCTTTCATTTTAATTTATTTTTTCTCTTATGGGCTGAGGGGTTTGCTTACACGAGTATTGAGGTCTCACAGATTCTACCTGGGTCAGTGGAAGCTATTGTTTCAATATATAAAATGCCATAGAATTCTTTGCATCCTTAAAAAAGTAGTTCTGAATGTTTCAGATACCGAAAGCTGATGGATGCCTTTGAGTTAGATCTCTGTGTATGTTAGCTCCCGATTTGCAAAGCTCTTTCCCCGCCCCTCCCCAAGGGAAATTAGTGAAATATGTTCATAATGGCTATGAAGAGCTCAGCCACTTAATGATGAATACTGTAGCTGGTGGCATGAGAATATTCATAGTCCTATGATCAGAATAGGTTTAAGTATTCTGCAATGAAAAAGGTCTTGGCTACAGGTTGAACAAGTACGCTATGCATCAAAAAAGGCAGGCGACCAGAAAATAAAACATGTTTTTTAACGTATTATTTTAAAACCAGAAAAGTCCATTTTGCCAATTTAATCAGAGAAAATTGCATTTAGCCACGGTATTCCTGTGAATCCAGTTATTGCTTTTACACAGAAAATGAGAATCTCACACCTGAGAGATGTTCTATAAAATAACTGATGCAGTAATTGTATAAAATATATTTTTAATTATAAAAATTACACAATACATTAAATGTAGAATACCGGTACTGAAAATTTTATGAAACTAAAAATTAACTGAATGAGGAAGAAGTGGTCTTAGTAACAATATTAGTTCTGTGAATTCAGAAAAAAATGGGATTACCTAGCTGCTCAGAGTACTCTGGTAGATATGAATATAAGTGATAAAGAAAAGCAAAAATGTATAGTTCAGAATGTTTGGTGTATGATGTTTTAAAGAGTCTGTTCAGATAAACTGCTTTGTACAAACCATTCTTCTTCAGTGTTAAAAATCTTTTGCTTGGAAATCTTGCATTGGCAGAGATTTGGCTGGATGATTGTGCCTTTTTATTTATGTACTTAAAAGTAAAATGAAGAAAAAGTGTGATCGGGTTAATTGAATAATACTATGGAGAGCCCTGATGTACGTGTCATGGTTATTTACTGACAGATCTACCAGAATCTTCTTTGTTTCTAGTCTGGCTTTGTTTTCAAGGGGTTTGTTGATTTTTTTTTTTTTTTTTTTTTTTGGGGGGGGGGTGGTAGTGTTTGTTTGAGTTTTTCTTAGGTTTTTTTTTTTTTTTTAATTGAAGTGCAAAATAAAACATGGGAAACCAGAACACAATAAAAGTTGTTTTAAACTTCTGGCAGTGCAGGCCACTTAAATTTTGCTCTCTTGGCTGCTGTGATTTGAACGTGCGTGTAGTGCAGCGGTGTCGTACATTTTTACCTTCTACGCAGTTCATGGTTAATTCTGTTATCACCTGCACAATCAAATTGGTCTCGATGGTGTGGTCCTTTACTGAAATAGTCAGGTATTTACTGAAATAGTCAGGTATTTACTGAAATAGTCAGGTATTTAGTTTCCAGTTCGGGCTCATCAGGTATGGTCTGGTTTATAATTCATATTTCCAAGCAGGATGTTATTAATGGAAAAATTATCCCATCTTATGTGGTGGAGCATTTCCACAGGCTTGGTGTGAGGTATCTGTCTAGTTTATCTCTAAGAGTTCTGGGCGCTCTGGCAATTGCTTAGAGTGGCTCATTGTCTGGTAGGTCAGATAAAATAATTTTAAAAGAGTTTTGGTTTTAAAGTAGTTAATTTGAATCCCTGAACTATTCTAAGCCATGTGTTTGTTCAGCCACATGTTTCCAAGCCCTCCTTTGTCTGCTCTTTGGTCCAGTTTAAATTTGATCTTCCTGGATTTAAGCAACATCCCTCATTTGGAAAGAAAGACTTCCTCATGCTTCTGTTGAAATCATTAATAGCTTTGTTTTTGGCTTCTGTGAATTTCCATAACAGCTCCATAATGCAAGCAGTAATACTTCCTCAGAGCAACGCACTCGCTGATGGTCAGATTGTTCTAGCTTTTCCATTATCCTTTTGGTGTTGAGTGATTTTTCAGATCCGAAAAAAGAAAACACAAGGGCTCTCCTGGGCTGCAGTGTCTATACCTCTGTTTGGTAGCTTTCAGACAATGAAATTACAGCAGGCAGTTGTGTCCCCAGAGAAACATGCAAACTTTAGAGGGATGTAAGGAAAATGAATAGCCAAAACAAAGATTATACATACCAAAAGGAAAAAAAAAAAAGCAACATTGTAGCTAGTTTACAAGTAGCTCTTCTGCAAGAGCTCATTTTTTGGGGCTAATCATAGTTGTGAACAACACAATTGCCTGTTTTGTTCTTTGTTGTTGTTGATTTTCCTGTCTCGTTTTGTTGTATGTGTATTTTTAACAGAAGATAACACCGTTACAGTTATAAATATACAATTCACAAAATCAGATATACTATTTGTATCTTGAACTTTTGTTTAGGGAAGTTCCACTTGATTTCAAGGTCAGGAAGAGTAGAGAAAAGCGTAGAAGCACACTGTGGAGCTGTACTTGCAGGAAGGTGGAATTACGAAGGAACAGCACTGGTTACAGGTAAGCATTCTTAATGAAGTGTTTTGAAAACTAAAGTAACAGAAGAACTCTTTCGAAATAAAGCCTTTTGGTTTTTTCATATATAAATTTGACATGCCACGAAGAAATGCAAGGGTAGAAAAATAAAGTATTAAACAAAATTTGTGAAAAGTAAGTGCTTTCAATAAAATGTGTAGAATGTAAGTACTTTATGGGATAAATACAGTAAAATGTTTTGGGGAAATTTAATCCTTGACATATGTTTAAAAGAGGTAGTCCCAAATTTCATAGTTTTTATTGTAGTTACATTGAATTTGAATGAATAAAACTTGAGTCTATTAAGTGTTCACACACTGGTCTAGCTTGAAATTCTCGTGAGAAGGGGAGAAATGGAAACACAAAATCAACAATATAAATGAAGTTAGCTATAAGTAACTTTTTTTTTTTAATGTCTTCATTGTTGCTGGGCTTATTATCACCTAGTTTAATAGAACTTAATTTTTTGATTTGATTAATGCTGTTCTAGAAGAATGTTGTCTATTTTAATCAACAGAAGATCTAGTAAAAACATTTATCTTTTTTAGTGATCCTACTAATTAAAAAGTTATCCTATTTACTTGAAAGTAAATGTTTTTAATATCAGAGCGCTTAGAAGTTTCTGTGGATGTTCTGTACTTCATAAAGGAGAATATTTGATTTTTTTTTTTTTGTCTTTTACAAAACAGGTTGCTAAGTTGGTGCATTTATATCCCTGCACATAACATTTGGGGCTTTTTGGCCAGCAAAGTTTACTGAGGCCTCATGAGCACCCCGAATGTTCCTGTGCTTCTGTTTCTTAATTATGAGGAGTGGTGTAGATCCAGCTGCAATCTAGCTCTCTTCTCTATCGAGGCTGGGAGAGCGATCTCCTAGTGTCTGCATCTCTACATATCGTTTTTGTCCTAAATCTTTTGGTAATTAGTTGCTTTTGGCATTTTTGTCAGAAACGTCTATCTCAATGTTAAGGGGAAGCTAATTACATTTCCTGTGATAGACTTCTCCTTTATGGGATTTCTGTTGGTGTCAGAATTTTCTGCAGCCTCCTGTTGATCTAGCACAGCTGATTTCTTTGGACAAATTCCAACTTAGTCCAGAAGCACTGAAGATAATTTTGGATCTGCTTGTTTCCAGACTCAGTCTGACTCTAAAATGCTGCTTCAAGGAACTCTGTCTGGCATGTTCCTCTGAAATCCCAGAGGGATAGAAATATTGTTCTTTTTAAAGACAGATTTGCCTCAGGAACTTCTCCAAAGAAAAATTCAAAATTGCCTGTTCAATCTTTTTGGGGTTTTTTTTGTTTGGGTTTTTTTTTTTTTTTAAATTGAAAGACTGCATGACACTTATGGGGAGTATGGGAATTTATCACCATATCCAAACAGTGTACTCCGGCAAGATCAACTACTCTTATACCACAACTAGACTTTGAGGAAGAGTGAATCATTGTCAGTTAAAATATTCTTTATGGCTCTATTTTAACAGTCTCAAATGTGGATAAATAAGATTTTTAATTTTTTTTTTTTTTTTACATTTTTTTAAACACTTAAAAGCTACATCAGCCAGATATAAAAACCTGAAATCTGGTAAGTAAATTACCTTTGAATGGAAGGATGGCATTAAGCATCTAGGTGCACCTTTTTCATCATTAATTGAATCTGGGAGGCCTAAATGAAGGCCCAGAGCTGTACGTTTTAAATACGATAGCGCAGTGGGAAATCTGTGTTGTTAATGCATACGTAACTGTGCTGTATAGTGTATGAGAACTTAATCTTTAGTAAGTTAACTAAGTTTCTTGGTAGCATGCAGTTATGTTATAAAATTTAAGCTTTCCAAACGGAGCCTTCAGTTATCTTCAGTTTCACCATTTATCAACTGTGAAGCCTCCAGTTTAATGCATAAAATCTGCTCCTACTCTCTTCGGGCTCCTCAGAGACTCATTTAATCAGCCTCTGGGCCATTGAACTGTAAATAGATGAAAAGTACTAGCAATGCTGAATAGAAAATACAGAACTTGGGGTACTTACATAGTGATGGACTTTCTCTTCCCAGGAGCAGCTTCAGATAAGACGACTACAGGGATTTTCAGGAGAGGAAGAGACTTGTTGATAATAGCAGAAGAACAGTCTTAAATATTTTTTCCTTAATATAGTGTCTATTTGCATGTTAGGAAGACTACATAAACAATAGTTACCTGTAAGAAGACCTGGACTTATTTTAACTCTAGTGTTTCCTAGATAAATACAAGTGCTTTGCTTGGTAGACTTATTATTGCATTTCAATTGATGATTTCTGTGATAACTTTACAGTTGGTGAAGATGGCCAAGTGAAAATCTGGTCTAAAAGTGGAATGCTGAGATCCACCTTAGCTCAGCAAGGTAAGTTAATTTTCTTAAAGTTCCATTAGACCTTTTTAATTTGGGGTATTATGAAATATATAACAGACCCTCAATCTGGCAGTAATGGTTTGTTTAAGGATCTTAAGGCCTAGATAAACTGAACTAAAATTAAATGTAAATCATAGTTACATACAGGGGGAACTGGTTTTTTAATAAGATGATTATCTTTAAAAAAAACCCAATTCTTCAATTTAAAAGTATTATTGCAATGTGTTTAGACAGTAGTTTCAGTTCCACCCTAAGGATTCTGGAGAGGCTAAAGAATTAAAAATAAAAAAAATCCAGCTTTTAATACCAAGCCACAGACTCTTATGGTGAAACTGGAAAAAAAAAAAAATCTCTAAAAGCATTGCAAGAATGCTTGAAAGATGCAAAGTGCATGTAGATTAGTTCCTCTGAACTTTAAAACTCTAACAGCCCTTGGTTCATCTATTTAACCCAGTGAGTAATTTAGTATATGCAAACAGTCCTACTGAGGTGAAATGATCCCTGTGCTTAAGTTCTTTGTTGAACTGGGGCCATGGAGACCTAACCTTGATCTGGGTTTGTAACTACAGTTTTAGGCATACTAGAGCATTCCATAGAGTTATTTAAGTCAATTTAAAATCGCGTTATTGTAAAGTGCAACAGTATAAGCTGCAAAAATACATATTTATACAAACGATGTTTGCTATTTTTTAAATGCTATTTTTTAAAAATAATAATTTCTAGCATTTTTGTACTATTTCAGTAAAGATAACTGAGCTAGATTTTGTTTTTCAGACTTCATACATTGAGATCATGTGACCTTTTGACATTTTTTAAGAAACCACATGCACCTGGGGTTGGGTTAAATGTCAGACCCTTATCTCTTTCTAAAACATATTATCTAAATTCTTTCAACCTGTTGAAGGCATTTTAACCACAGGAGTGAATGTAAAATGTATTTCAATTCTGTCAAGGAAGTTCATATTCAGATGTAATGTTTTTTCATGCTTACAATGTAAAAAGATAAGCCAACTGAACTGCAATTTTTGGAAAAAAAAAAAAAAAAGTTGAAGTGCACACTTCACCAGTTCTCCGTTGATATGTTTCAAGCTTTTTTATGTTTAACTGTCCTTATCTGAGGTTTGATGAAGCTTATAAAGTAAGAGACATGTTCTAGTTTGAAATATGCAAGCTGAATTTTCATTGATTTCTTTGAGTTTCTGGTGCAGTGTAAAAGGACGGTTGACTCCCCATGGAATAATTGTCTTTTTGTATTTGTGCTTTAAGATAAGATCCTGTGAGGCTCAGAAACCCTTTACATTTATAGGATCAGATTCCCACAGACCCCTCTGTAAGCTACTGGCATACCTGGGATCAGGATAGGATTCTGCAGAAATTGTTCTGTTGTTTAAGACAGGTCTATCACGTTTGAGCTAATTTTTCACTTCTTTATCATCTCCTTAAGAAGTGAAAGGACTACCATTGCTAACATTCTTTTTACTCCTTTCACTCTTTGTATTAGAAATAAATTTTCAGGCTCTTCTCTTTGGATGATGGTCCACATGCCTATTCTGTCTTTGGATTATTATTCACTACAAAAACATGAAGGTACATTTTTCCTTTTTTTTAGCTTTTTCAGGACTTATATGGAGGGCTCTGGTCGCATGTCCTTCCATCATGCCAATGCATGGAGTAAAATTAGTGTGACCCTATAGTTTCTACTGCATTCAGCCCCGAGCTGTAATGTTGCTGTTATGGCCACGTTGTTCTTTGAGCCCCATCTCACTTCTTCATCCTTACATTATCTTAATATTCTTCCTTTTGATCCTCCTTTTCCTTAAACTGAAAGCTTTTGGAAAAAAAGCTGTATTTGCAATCCTTTGGGCTTCTAGCTGACACGGTGTACTGATACATCTTGATGAGGTAATTTTTTTGCATGGATCTCTTTGGTATATGTTGGTAACCCACACGGTTATGCTCAAAGGAGGATTTATCAGTGTATTCTGTGAAGTATACATTGCAGCGCGACGCTGCGCTCGAAGTGTCTGCGTTCCTTTGGAGAGAGCCACAGAACTGTGAAGAGTAGAATGTGTTGAAGGTCCACATTTGGAAGAAAAGATGGCACTACCCACACAAATTTTTAAATTTTTATGGTGCTTTGTAGACTCTGACACTAAGATTGTTTGAGGTGAAGTCTGTAGTGTTAGTGGTGCCACCTGCACTAACTGAGTCCTTCGCAGGCCAAACATCTGGTTAGTAGGACCTGTGCTGAGCCCACAGTTGCATAGCCTCTCTTGGAATGTCTGTGTAAAATTGCAACTGCTGAGGTTCATAAAACACTGGCGCGCTAACCCTCAAAATCCTCTACGGAGTCAAAGCTATCGGTGAAGCTGGAAGTTAAATAGAGTGCAGTTGTGCCTTCCTCAGTACAGTCAAGGTTATTCTGCAGCGCCATTTCTTCAGCCTGTCCCACTACTGACAGCTTTGCTGATAACTTTACTCTTACTCTGAGATCTGAGAATTTTCAGGGAAAGCAAGCAAGTAAGCCTCATGGATCCACCCTAAGTATTCCATTACTAGAGCACCTGTTTCGATCCTGGTAACTATTCTAGTGTCCCTAATTCCAGTCAAGACAGGAGTAATTCCTTGCAGGAAAGTAATTTTAAATCCACAGGATGACTTTATTTCTTGTGCCATGAAAACTCACTTCTTTAAGAGCATTTGGTGAAGGACGTCACCGTGACCTTTATGAAAATACACAGACATTGTACAAACCAAGTCAATGCTCTCCACATGCTTTTTGATTCTCGGTGAAGTGATGACTTCCCATTAAAAAAGAATATGACACTTACTTATCATTTAAACATCATTATCCACCGACCCATTGTTTCTGTGCCACACATTCTGCCAGTTTACCTCCGATGGATTTCTAGTTCTTCAGGTGATTTCTGTCACCTTTCTTTCAAATTGAATTTGCCATCTGGTACTCTTAAGACCATATCTTTCTTGAGTATTTATCTTGTGGCCCTGCTGACTTTGTGACGGGCTTCCAGTGACTAGTGTGCCAAATAAGCACCAAGGAGTAATATTAATAATTGGTGTATAAGTTGCCTTTTTGGTTAATGGAAGCAAAATCACAACAGTTGCAATGTAAACAGTTTAATTGCAACATGTTTATTGTGAAGCAGAACTTACTTTTTAAAGGCCAACTGGATTCCAAGCGCAGCTCCTGGGTTTTTTTGTGCCGCCACAGAGAGACATAAAATTGTCTGAATTAATGTTTCTACTCCCGTGAAAGTAAAAAGTCTCACACAGACTTACTGTTGTAATTACCAAAGTATCTGCTGGGGCTGAAAGTGTCAGAGTGACTGCTCTATCGCTCCTGCGCTCAGCCCTAGCTCTTTCTCTGCTGTATGCATTGGCCACGGAAATGATTCCTTGGGGATTAACATCTGCTAGCGGAGCACTGAGCTGTGAAGAAGCCCAGCCTGTATGCTTAATGCTGATGTTCCTTCTTCACATCCTCTCTGCGGATCTCACCTTTTCTGCTTTTCTCACTTCTTTTCTCAGAGAGTATTTTTTCTTGAAACTGTTTATCACCAATGCAATTCACTGCAGTTTGTCCGTTCTGCTGAATTTTTCTTTCCACAGCAATGCAATGTGTTGGCAGTCTTTTCCCAACCAAGCTCTTGTTAAGTGCAGAAGGAAATGAGTTAACTTAGCTCCTGCTGTTAAGCCCTGGAAATTGTGGTTAAGTAGTCAGCCATCATAAAAAAGTTAAACATTTGGTTTAAATATAAAAGTCTTCTGATTGTTAAATCAGCATTAGAGCAGGACAAAAATTAGTTTATTTAGAATTTCTGTACAGCTGGTGACAGAATTTATGTCATTTTCAACATAAATTGCTGCCAGTAGGAAAATAGCTAGTGCCAGATTTACTTAATGTATGTTGTATGTTTCTATGAGTTGTCTCCTATAATGGTTGACGAGTTAAAAAAAAAAAATTACATCATTCTGTACTTCTAAGTAGCATAAAAGAAATGCCTTCCTAAAAGAAAATATACAAAGTACAGGAATATTCAGGAGCTATGACACCACGTCTCACTTTAGAGTTTTATTATTTGGAAGCTTAAATCAAATTTAGTGAGCTGAATTGATGTGGCTGTAATAAAATAATTTTTTTTGTTCAGGGAGAAAATTCGAGGGCTTAAGTGATAAGATATTAGATGATGTTAGGACAGTTGGTATAGCAGTTCAATCGCTTAAGTATCTGAACCTTATCAAAACATTCCCATAAAAAGATATTCCTGAGTAATTTTTCTGAAATGGAACTTAATATGCCAAAAGTGTCTTTGAAAATTTTCCATGTAAGAGCATTTCTTAAGTCTTTTGGGGTTGTTTATTACCATAAATTTTAGATGTACAAAAATGGTTTATTTGCTAAATTTTAATTCATTTGATACTTAGTTCCAAATATGCGTGACTCCCTAAGAAGTGCATATCTGAGAATTTTGGAGAATTTCTTTCCATTTTCCTCTTCTAAAATTACGAAATTGTCAAATACCAACATTTAGGTTGTAACAATTGCTCTTTCTGAGGTTTCTTATTTCTCAAACAGAACTTTTGGGGTACAATTCAGTTGTGTTAATGTAAGTGTAACCTCCAAATCTATTCCAGAAGGAGATGGATCTCGTTCAGGTCCTGTGTTGTACCCATAAGCTCCACACGGGCGTCTTAGAGTACCGTAGGTGCATCGCGTCGCTTGGGTGCTTGTGTTCAGACAATTGAATCGTGTCTCCAAAGGCCTCGTTTCTGCCAGTGAGAATATTAAGTCTGTTAGGGAAAAACAGATGCCTGAAATAAGCCTGCTCTTTCCTATTTCCTATTGTTCAAAAAACGGGCAGATGTGGCACTTGGGGACATGGTTTAGTCTAGTCTACCCTTGATTGGCTTAGAGTAGACTTGGTAGTGTAGGTTAATGGTTGGACTGGATGATCTTAAAGGGCTTTTCC